AGTATTGAGACATGTGTCCTAGCGTCTGTAAAAAACTGTAAATCACATCCTGTCAGCCAGTCCCTTATGTCTGAGAAAGTTGTCACAGTGGATGACTCCACATATTTGGCACAGATGTTCAGTGCCCTCCTATTTATACAGCACTCGGAGTACACTAGTTTATGACCCACTGCGGCTGGGTGTGCCTCCTCCTAATCGTGAGCTGTTGATTTTTCACATAAGGCTCCAAGTGTTAACCACGATACTATGAAGCCAATGGAATCAAATCAAATCTGACAAAATACCAAATTAAGGTGTCTTAATTTCCAGCAGAGGGCAGCACTCTCCCTCTAATGCTGATACACACTGGTTGTTTATTACTCTGGTCTTGAGTACTTAAAGAGGAAGAAGCTGCAATTGAAACAACTAATAACAAATTTCAGTATGTATTCACCAAAGCTGAAATAGTTTACAGAGTTGCATGTAGAATATGTGTACCTTGCAGGATGTCCTGGGAACTTTTTGTGCACTGCTGCATGCTCCAGGATCCCTGCTGAGTGGCTTTGGGTCTGGATCTGATGAACGTTGCCACCATGAAGCAGTAACTCTCTCCTTTATCCAGCCCCGGTATCACTTTCATACTTGAGTTTGATATCTCATCTCTCTAAGGGGTAACAGCAGGACAGATTACTGTCTGTAAACATTTAACCAACTAACCAAGCAGACATTTGGATGTTTGGGTGAGGTCTTCATTTGACTGATCGTAAGACCAGGCCCAGCAGAAAACAGCTAGCCTACACACACAAATGCCACATTGTTGTTCTTTATTTCAAATTCTTAGAGCTGCAGTTCTGGATTTTTAGAAGATGTCCAATTACATTGGTAATACTGACCAGTGTTGAATGAAACTAGCCATAGGCCCTAAATCTAAAGGCCCAGATGAACTTGTTACTAACTAACTAACTAACCACTGTGTGGGTGCCTATAGAATGGGCTGACCACACTAAGCAGAGAGGGACCCATAGTAAGGCCCATTGCTAGCCCATATTCTTCGTGTGAGCAAGCCTAACGTGGAGCACTAACAGAATTACATGAAAAAGGTGTAATTTTTTCAGTTTAACAACATAATTTGCAGCTCATTTCACTTTTAGCGTTAACAGCAGATTACCTTTCCTGTGCTTCCAGACTTGTAGTAGCGGATCTTATAATTAAGATCTTTTTTGAAAATGTCTCTGATGCTGAGCTGCTTCCCACGATCATAAATGGAGGTTAAAGGATCAGTGATGTTCACTATTACTCTTCTGTCATCCAATGGCGCCACAGTGAAACTCACAGCACTGATGTTACCTGGGGACAGGACCAACCAACAGTTATGCTGAGACTGCCTGCAAAGGTTTATTCATGCGCTAAAAGTCAGTTCAGTTAGTTTACAACATCATTACCAGAGTGAGTGAGTTTTTGAGTGGATGGGTACTCTACTAAACATTATGCAGAATGCCTGATTGGTGCAGGTATGGTAGCCTTGACATTATGGGCTCAGCCACAACAGGGATCAGGATGCATGGATGACCT